CCTGGGTAATTTCTTCTATTTTTCCTTTGATATATGTTTACAAGGTCCCACTGAAGAACTCTCTGAGTAACTCTTTGTATAGGTCTCTCTTATCTTTAAAAATTAAATTCCTTGACTTTCAAGAACATTTTTCTAAGTGGGAAAAGCATACATTCCATAAAGTTTGTGCTAGTTGGTTCCAGATGCTCTAGCTTATGCCTCCTGTTTTCTAACAAATGTTTCCCCTTTACTCGCAGTAGTAAAAGGAATGTTTCTCCCTTTTCATCCATTCTCTTTGACTAAAACGCAAAAAGGAAACTTATCATTAACATATGGTGGAAAAATATTACTGCATGCATCTCTCAGGCACTGCTCATTAAAAGAATACACAGAAATGGCTCAAGTGTGGGTAATGTAATTGCTGTGTAACTCACTATTCCCTGAATATGTACTTTCCACTTGCAGTACAAAAATTGAGAAGTGTTTGCCTTTTTTAAAAGAGGATGGAGCATATGGAGTTCAAGAAAACAAGCCTTGAAACAAAGGGATATGCTCATAGCACCAAGTGCAGAGGAATTAAATGTTACACCAGTGACAGGAAATATGCATCCCACAGTCATCACCACTGCAAAAAGAAGGGTTGTTAAGAGCAATATATGTCTCTAATGAAAACTAAATACAAATTAGAGCCAATGTGTATGTTTTATATTGGGCATCACAGTCAGAACAGTTTTAATAACTGAGCTCCGGGATATTTTGGACTGACTAAAATAAAATATGAGGTTTTCAGTTAAAGCCATATATTGAAACCAATTAATGTCTTATATGCAGCCAGTGAATGCTTGTAAAAATACTTCACCAGGAAAAATAGCACTGCATCCGAGTCTTGAAAAGAACAGCTTATAGAGTCTTTTTGTTTCAAAATTCATTCATTCATTATGAATAACCTTGGGGTCCAAGACCATAAATGCGCTCTTGTTTAAAGACCCCTGAGCCTCCTTTACAAACAAAGCAGGAATTTGGATAATGTTCCTGTGCTCCAGGTGTAATTTGAACCAGACACTTTAGGGCTGACCTTTTAAAGACATCAGTTTGCTGTGTGACTCTCCTTGGAACATCTCAGAACAAACATCTGAGTAATGAGGCATCTAAAGTTAATGAACTTTTGTGAAAATTTGACATTTTACAGTTCCTTATCCCCTTAAGCCAGTAGGGAAAAGATTTACAGTACTATGTAAATCACTATTGCATTTGTTCTGGGTAAAAATGGGACCTCTGTGTGTGTACACTTCTTCATCAGAACAAGCTAAGGTCTTTGCAGAAGCAGTCAGTCTCCAGGTGTTGGTCTTCATTGGCCCGCATGTCCCCATCATTCAAAACCAGTTCTTCATCTTAATTTTCCCTTCTAAGGGAATTTTTAAAGCCTATGACTGAAAACTGTGTATGAGTGAATAGGAAATGTCCCTATCTTGAAATGGCCCCATCCAAAGTGATCACCGATACGTTTTATCTCAACTTTGTGACTGAGGAGATTTAGCTAATTGTACTAAAACCTTGTCATCTGTCCAGGTTCTTATCTTAGCCTCTGTCTGCATGTTCCCATAGTACCGCCCCTTTCATTGCCTTCACAGTTGAATAAAAATCTGCAATTTAAAAAAAGTCTATCACTTATGAGAAAACATTTTACTAGTTCCCTCATGCAAGAAGCAAATTGTGAACACTTTGATTTGTGAAGGCCAAAAAGGTAATAAGGGTGATGGGGGCTTAGATAGCATATATGCCAAAGAGTAGGAACAATCCCTTCTTGTACTTAGAATTGTGGATCTGTTACTGATATGGTTCTTTGAAGTTGTAGCAGTGATAAGAACTCTTCAAAATAAAAATCTATAGATCAAGAATGTAATAAATCCATGTGTTGCCATTTAGATCCTAACTGATTAGTCCTGTCTAACCTGATTTCTTATGTGCTTTGTTTTCAATTTTAGGCACCAAAGGAAGAAACAAAGGGGAATTTACAAATCTTCAAGGTGTAGCTGCATCTACAAATGGAAAAATATTAATAGCAGACAGTAACAACCAGTGTGTGCAGGTATAAGGATATGCCACTTCCAGTATTTTTATTTTTCACTCTGCCCCCACACCTCTACCGCCTTTGTGCTCCAGGAAAGACACATTTTGTACAATTCAAGCAGATATAGAAAATACAGAGGAGGCTCAATTTGTTTATCATCCATTATCATTCCATCTTCTTGATCTGCAGCTATATTTGTCAGATCTACACTGTAATATGTATATCAGAGTTTATTTCTCTTCTTTATGATGTTTGGCAATGAATGAAGAAAACAAGCAGTGGAATAATCTGGAAAAATGCCTTTTTGTTAATATCATTTTACATTGTAAATGTATCAGTCCGTGCTTCCAAATATAAATCTAGGGCAAGGTGCCATGAATATCATTCCTTAAGCAAATACAAAAATAAGCATGTAGATGTCATTTTCAAATGGCTTTTAGTCTACTTAATTAACTTTTCTGTCTGATATCATGATCAAATCTTTTCTGTGGTAGCACCCCTGACATCCATGATTTCTTGGCTTCTGTAACCTTTGTGAAAATCAAGCTGTGTTTTTTTATTTTGCTTGCCATGTGTCTCTTTTGCCATTAACAATTTGTCATCACTCTTCAGGCTGCCCATGTGGTAGCAATGAACAAGGCAGCAGTGTGTGGCTTGCTCTTAAGTATGTGAGAACCAGCAAGCCACATGCAGTAAGAACTCATTTCAAAAAGACAGAGTCAAATATTCATCAGCACCCTTACGCTTTGTAATTTGCAGCCACTTCAGAGGAACTTCAGTGTCTAATTACCTGGCTTGAGGACACAACCAGTGGACTGAATTTTGTGTGGTTAAAGCATCTCTCAGGAAATGGCCTAGGACTTATCCCTAAGTCAAATAATTAAATTTTGAAATTCTCTTTTAGCTTCTATTCCTATCTTTTCTGCAGACTTAGTGTTTGATTGTGGCTGAGTCACTCTGTGCCTCAGTTTCCTCATTTCTAGTATGGGAATAATACCACTTCCTTCCAGCTGTGAAGGACATTGTGAAGCTTAATTCACTAATGTTTGTAAAGTACTTTAAGATCACTGAAGAAACAGTGCAATGTAAGTGCAGAGAACTTTATTTTGAAATTAGGGTCAAGGTGGAAGCCCCTTCTTAAATTAGGCATATCACTTTCAAATACAGACCATGTAAAAAGTGCTTCATGCTTTTAACTCTCTTCCTGACTGTAGTGTTCATTAGTAACTTGCTAAAAACTGAGCTTCAAGAAACAGATGATGTTGTTTTGCAGATTTAATTTTAAAATTAATGTTTTCTGTTACAGATATTTTCCAATGATGGTCAGTTCAAAAGTCGTTTTGGCATACGAGGAAGGTCTCCTGGCCAGTTGCAGCGGCCAACAGGAGTGGCTGTGCATCCCAGTGGTGACATCATTATTGCAGATTATGATAACAAATGGGTTAGCATATTCTCATCAGATGGAAAATTTAAGGTATGAGTTACCATGTGAACTCTCCTGAGCTTTCTCCATCTCACAAAGGAATGCAAAGAAACGTGGGGTTTTTTTTTGTCAAGAAACTACATAGTTTGGCTGTAACTTAGTTGAGATTCCATTGTTGTGATGTGGAAACCCATGCCACAGCCATGTTGTATAATTAATAGGAAGAGGTCACAGCTGTGTTGCTAATGTTATACCGAATAGAGATGATGCGTTCCATTTTACAGTTCTACACACTGTATGTTACACCTTTCTGTAATTTATAGTCGAGGACAGCTAATATAATCAAGTCTAGTTGGACTAGCTCAACAACCTTCATATCATTAGTATTCTGATTATACAGAAAGGTGTGTGCATACACGTATGTACAGACAGACAGACATAAAAACTTAGGAGGAGGACATGAGGCTCTTCAGTGACATATGGAGGAGAAAAATAAGGTAGCAGACTGATAATGACTTCCTCTATTAGACCACGTATCAGCAAATCAAGTGTGTAATTGACATATGATCCTGTTGGTAATAACTGCAAAAACTGAAAAGCAGTAATAATGTCTTAGGTTTCAGAAATCAGAAGTTCTGAGAAAAGCGCACCTCTTATTTTCATAGCAACTCTGCTCCATTTAATAGGAGTAAAACAAAGAGGCAGCTACTACACTACACTGATACTTGCCAGCCTGCAGTATTTATTTTGCTTGGGTTGAGGTGCAATTCCAGAAAGAGTTAAAGGTTGCCTCCATTTGGTGCTGTTCTCTGAATGCATGTTATTGAGTCTGGTGATGCATTTTAGGAACAGCCACCTATAGCAGAGGTTAGCAGTACATGCTGTTCAGCAAGATAAAGGACCTGCAGGGAAATTTCTACCATAATTACTTAGTTCTAGAGTCCTGCATTGGAGAGAAATTGCCTGCTTGGCTAATTTTCTGGCAGTCTAATGACCAAAAAGCTCAGGTCCTGAGCTGTTTACATGTGTACCAAGAAATGGCCTTCCTTTGAGTAGTCTTTGCAAAGTGATGAATGCTATAGCAAATAGGCCATTGTGCTTGCATAGGCCTCAGTCTCCTCCATCTGGGAAACAGACGTGTGTATGCTTTTAAAAGTATCCAGATCCTGTGTAGACTTCGAGCTAAAATAAAACAATACTAATATGCAATGCAAGTCTTATGAAAATATAAATTACTTGCATTTGCAGGGAGTATGTGATTTTCCCTGTCAAGTAGTTTTGAAAAGGTACAGCTACACAGGAAAACCTTGGTTTTGGCTGAAGTCCTTGAATGAAATGAAGACACCAAAACAAACCAAAGAAAGATGTAATTTAGTTAAGAATCCAAGTGCTCTGAGTAACCTAAGTGTGTTTTAAATACTTATTAACATCTTTAATGTGAACTGGCTTGTTCTGGACACAGAGCATGGAGGGCTTGTTTTCCTTCTTTCTCAAGACATGTTGTAAATCCAGCATTTTGGATGGTGCCAGCTCTGGAGGAAAAAGCCGTGGCTCTGGAGAAGCCAGGACCCTATGTGCTATATACTACCAGCAGGGAGACAGGTTTTGAAAAAAAAAAAAAGAATTATTAAGGTAGTTCCCCTGATGGGGAGCCTAGCTTTGTTTTTAGTCAATGTTTTTGTTGGATTGCAAGAGCTATGTAAACTTGGCAATGTGTGGTTAATACAAGTTAATGCATTGAACTTTATAGTTCTTGGGACTAGGCTGATTAAATAAGAGATGAAACATCAATGACAGAAAATACTATTTTTAGATTGAATGCAACAGGCTATATTTATGAGAGAAAATGTTTGTAAAAGCATTTTCTATATGGGGGACAGGCATAATCATATAGTTGAAGCACAGGACATGGATATAACAGAATCTAGCCTGTTGGAATCTGGACAAAGCCTTGTAATTGCTTATGTGTGGGCAATGGTAATTCTTACAGGGGCTTTGTCAGATTAAATTGGGCAACGCTTGCTAAGATATACAGAGAGATAGATAAAGGGGTAATGGTGTTTCCCTTCAAAGGGCTGTGCCTGCAAGTCATTATATATGAGCTCTGATGCAGGTGGTCTGCTAGTTGTTAACTCAGCATTATCAGGGGGCTGTTTTGAACATAATCTAACTATTTTTGTTGTTTTCCCCTTATTTCTGTATTTACTTACACTTACTCTCCATTAGTGGCATTTTAATAGTCATGTGAACCAGAAGGCAAATTTCCCTGGAGCCAGGCCCAGGCATCCCCCTGATTACAGCACTGGGCTGACTCACCCCAGCAACCTCCGCTGCCACGCAGAAAAGTGTCACCTTCCTCCGTCGCTGGTAGCAACAGAGACAAGGCTCTGTTTCCTCAAGGCTGTAAAACTTGCATAATGCAGAGGTGGACAAACCCTAATCTAAGGTTACAACAAAACATGAGTCTCTTAAAATAAAAGGCTGTATTATCCTGTGAACAATAAAGCCTCAGACAGTCTTAGGAATTGGGGCTTCTGTTTCTGGCTATGCCATGGGTCTCACAGGTGAGTAGTAACCTTCCATTTCACTTCCAGTGCTTTATTTTCCTTATCTATAAAAAACAGATAACAGTGCTGGCTTCCTCTGTAATGACTCTGAAATTGCTTAAGAAAACTGTTATAGAAGACATATTGCTAGGCTAAGAAGAGAACACATGGTGAAGGAGCAGTATCAGCTTCTGTGCCAGTGGTGATGTTCAAACCTAGTGAAGGAACTGAAGAACAGAGACAAGAGAATGACTCTTGGTCCTCTGAGGAGAGAATTACTTTCTTTCTAGTTTTGAAGGGTTGCATCTAAGCTTGTTAAGGAGTTAAAATTAAAGCCCTAACACACCTACTTCTACAGTGGAAAAGTCCTTATAAATTTTTCTATAGGCTAGCTGATTTTTTTACCTCTAGGAATATCCCACAGTAGAATATTTTCCATGTGGGTAGGCTGACTTTATAAACTTCAAAAACCACTCTAAATTCGTAAAAGCCTATAAAATACGGGACATAATGTCCTTGACTGAATTCAATTAAACACGTTATTTATATTAAGGGTAGATGATTCATTATACTTTATTCATTTCTAATGGCAGAAAAGTCTGAAAATACTTCCATTCATACACTTAACAGGAGTGACTTAGTTGCTTAGATCCCCCTTCTTTCTGATCCTACCAAAGGATATAATTTACTTCTGCCTGCAAGTTATATTTTAAATCCTGGCCCAAGAATAGTGATTTTTGTTACTCTTCTCAGCACTGAGTGCCCATTAATGTAGTATGTGATTTATTCATTATTTTTTTCCATACGTATTTATATGGGCAGGAAGACACTGTACTCTTGAGTCTGAGTCATTTTTCCATAGGAATCCTGGAAAGATGGTGAGGAAGTGGTGCAATGCACCAGCAGACAAACACATGGGCATCCCAGAGGAAAGAAGGGAATATGATTTAATCACCCCAAGGGAAATAAATCTACTAATTTGCATTTAGTTTGTGTTTTTGCTGCTTTGTTGTTATGTAAACCTGAATACATTTTGTAGGTCTGCTTGTATCTTTTCCCCTGGTAAACACAAAGTCATTTTTAATAGTTTTCCCTGGGGATATTTTAACTTAAGTTAATTAGGTGGGTTTTGCCTAAATACTTAGCAATTTATAACAGCATATGTACCTGAACATAAACCAGACACATGATCATTGCATGTTGGCTAAGCATAGTCTTGAAGCTGCAAGACTTACTCCCTAGAGTTTTCTTTATTTGAGACTGAAAGAAGTTGTGTAGTAGTGCTGGTGACTTTGTACCAGACAGCCTCAGGGAACCTAGATGGCTTTATTTTGGGATGGCTCATATTTTTACCTGCAACCCCACCTGTGAGCATTGAGCTCCTTCAGATACTAACATGGTTGCTTGCTTTGAAAGCATTAGGGAATTGAGAAAAATGAGTTAGGTAATGGATCTTCTCCATGCCCTGTAATCTGTCCCACTTTGATAGTCACACTCTAACAGAGCTTCAGCCACTCCTCACCACTTGCAGGAGGGAGGGGAGAGAGGCAGAGAAGTCAGAAGCATTGCTTGTTCTAGGTGGTGATCTGTCCCACATAGCAAAGGCAGTGAGGTGAAGAACAGTCTTGTTTTGTAAAGAAGACAAATATCTTAGTTATCTATTTCATTTAAATTCCAATGGAAACAGGAAATTATGTCCGCCACCAAAAAGATGGACCTTAGTTTTCAGGATGTTGTATCTCACAAATTACTGCAGGATCTGGAAGTTCTGGGATCCATAATTTCAACACAGCCTGTTCCGTGGATTTCCAGTCCAGCACAGCAAAGAGGCTGGCAGGAGACCAGAGTTTTGGAATCAGCCTGGGTAACTGCTTCCAAATCTGTCCATCATTCAAAAAAAACCAAAACCAACCAAAACCAGAAAGCAAGTTGCTGCATTCCAACAACAAAGCCCCCAAACAATTAGGTGGTATTTTTAAAACCTTTTTTTTTACTGAAAGGTCAAAACTATGTAGATTAAACCAGTTTCTAGAATATCTGCCTGAAAAAAAGAGCAGAATGGTGAAAAATGTGAAATGGGTTGCAAGGTGATCCTAGAATCTTCTTGGGTATATGCCCAGGTAGCTCATGGGTTCTTTGAAGGCTTTGCCTCAGTTTCTGATTGCTCTGGGCTGGATGGGATGCTGTTGCTTAGATCCCCTTCTTTCTGATCCTACCAAAGAATGCTTCTAACATTTTCTTATTTATTTTGACAGCTCTCTAGCCTTTCCAAATAATTCACTGTGTGTGAGATCCACCTCATCTCCACTGAAGGTTTTTCCATTGATATGATATGGAATATTGTATATAATTCCCCTCCTGTTGCTAATTATGCTGGCAGATGGGTTTGGTAGTTAAAATGATGGAAATAATTTTCTTTACCTAAGACAGGAGCAAGCTTTGATTTGTTTAGTGTTTCAAAGATTACTTTATTTGCTGTTTGGCAAGTATCTCCTTTGCAGGTTTAAGCTGGCACTTAATGTGTCTAAGCAGCAAGTGAAGCAATCTCACATGGATCTAGTGGCAGATACAGAGGTTAGCCTGAGCTTTAACGTTCAGGTGCATGGTGTCTCATTCACTCAAGAAAGGCAACAGAGGGCATCATAGCCTACGTCCCACCCAGCTCTGATGCTCCAAGAGTGAGCTCTGACTGCTTTGATGTAGCAGGCAATGGTAAAGGCATGGTTCCCTGTCCATAACCAGGTGGTCGTTGGACTCTGGAATAGTACGCAATAGGAGGTAGAAGTCCTTTGTGTCTGTCTGCCTGTCCTACTGGTACACTCATGCTGGCTATACAGCCGTTTGTGATGGTTTCTGACAGATGCTGTAGTTTATCAAGACACAACAAATGCAATGATTGTGTTTCTTATGAGTTGTATATTTGATCTCAGTTGCTGAGATGGCAGATTTTCCACTCTAGAAAGGACATACAGAAAACAGTCTTTATTTTCAGCCAAAGAAAAAGTTATGAAGTACATAATAAAAGCAGATAAAAACAATCACTTCCTTCTGAGAAACTTTTGATGACAAAAATGTCTCTGTCTCACTGTGTGCCTGTAATACATCTTTGAACTGTACTAACTTATTTCTGTCGTGCCAACATATTTTCCTGTTTTGTGCTTTCCCTTTTAGGCCAAAATTGGGTCTGGAAAGCTCATGGGCCCTAAAGGTGTTTCTGTGGATCGTAACGGACACATCATTGTAGTGGACAATAAAGCATGCTGTGTCTTCATCTTCCAGCCAAACGGGAAAATAGTCACCAGGTTTGGTAGTCGAGGAAACGGTGACAAGCAGTTTGCAGGTACACTTGATGGTAATATGTAAATCCCCTTTTCTTGCCTCTTCTGCTCACATTTGCATGATGTTTGAGCATGTTGAAGACGCTATATCCTACTCGCTTTTCCTGTGGGGGAAAGGTTCTACTAAACATACAGCTCCTATTCACTTCACCATTTGTTTAATTGGTCAGGAAGACTGCAACATCTGTTCTGCAAATGTAGCTGTAACCAGATTGTTGAATCTGCCTCTCTCTGCCTGGAAGCATTTCAGATCAGTGACCCAAGAAAGACTGATCTTAACTAGCATTTTATAAATGCTTTGTAATGCCCACACTCAGCTGTTCATGATAATCAACTCAAACACTGTGTTTTGTGTTTCCAATGTTCAGATACACATTAACCAATGCCCTAAGCAGTATCTTCCCATTAGAAGATGAGAGTAATGGGATGGTGTTGAGATTGAGATCAGGAAGTCAGTTATACAAACGGAAAATGCCAGTGTGGGGAACTTGCCACTTACATTTAACTGACTGCTTGCACATGGTGTCCTTCAATTAGAACATGCAATTAAGTTTAAAAAAAAGCAACTGATATTTTGAATTAATAGCTGTTCCTTCAAAGTTTGAAATGAAGATGCCAAATTACATATGCAGGTCATTTTGCAGGTGTTGGGCTACTTTGAATAAGTAGTTATAGATTGGTCTGATGTTCTGACTGGTTCACAGCGTAAGAGAGAAACAGCGTCAATGGTATAACTGCTTTAATCTTACTTGAGATCTCTTGCAATGTCTTATGGCACAAATGCCATATAGATATAGTTTATGAGAGTTTTGCCGCTAACACAGCTAAGTGTCACCAAAGTTTTCGGGGTATGTCCAATTTCTTTCGTTTTAAAATTGGTAAGAATACCTCCTGAAAATAAACATGTAAACACTCTGTAACAGTGCACTGGAGAAATTATCACCTCTTCTTGATGGTAGGCTACATAAAACAGGTGGATTGAATGTTACTTGAATGTTTTCAGTGTAAAGGTTTTTGCCCTTTTTATAGTTTACACTGATGTACTGTGAAAGTTGAAATTGACTTCTGATCTGTTTAATAACTCAAAATACCAAGTATTTTGATTCAGGTACTTATCTGTTTTCAGGCTACTATTTGTTTTTTATTCAAGTTTGCACACATAATTCAATACACAAAGTAAAGCAAAAAAAAAGCAATTTTTTTCTCTGATACTGTTCTGAGTAACTTTTGTATTTATCCTAAAACTTCTTTGCTCAAATGCTTGTAAGAAGTGAGCGCACAAAGCATAGAAGATTTCAATTACAACTTTACATGAACATTTTTGAGAACTATTTTCAGTGTATACACAACTTTATGCCTAAGCAGTACATGTTTTGTCTTGTTAATAAGCACGTAAATATCTACATACACATACATCTGTATGTGAGAGAGGAAGGAAACAATGCTTATTGATAACACTAGCTGACAACTGGTTGAAAAAGAAATTAGTGTTTACAAAAAGGCATGCTAAGCTTTTTAAAACATGAAATGAAACTACTCTTAATTTGAAATTGATGTTCCCAGTTTGACTATTATTGCTCATAAGCCAAATATAATATTCTGTCAGGCTGAATAATTTTTTTGATTTAAGCAAACTTTTTGATTTAGTGGTATTATTATGTTTAATTGTTTGGGTTTTTTTCTTCCTCTGCATTGCAGGTCCTCATTTTGCAGCTGTAAACAGCAACAATGAAATTATCATTACAGATTTTCATAACCATTCTGTCAAGGTACTGTCAATTAATGGCAACTTGGAAAGCTTTTTATTTTATCATGGTACTTTCCTGGTGAAAATAAAGTTTTGTTAGAAACAAAGAGATCCCATCCTGTATGTATGAGATCCGATATACGGACTGCACATTCAGAGACCTTTGCATGCAGTGCATTGCTTAATGGAGATAAAATCTGTTGCCTTTGATGCCACTATAATGTTCTCTAATACAAATTGCTTAAACATAAGTTGTACCTGAGATAAATAATATCAACTTAGTTATTTTTATTAGCTCGCTGCCAAATCTGTTATTTACTCTATGTTCTTTTCTATTTTAAGTAAGTCTGGTAACTGCTTCTGAATTTCCCAGTAAAAGCTTCCCACATTTTTAGTTGAATAAAAATGCCACAAAGTAAAGATACCGGACAATCTTTGATTCCATACCTATAAGTTTTAAGATTACTGGATCCATTTACAACTCGATACTCTTAACCGTGTAACACAGACCATTGGTTTTCATACAGTACCTCCTGTACTGGGCAGAACTGGCCACTAGTCCTTACACCCATGGGAAGTCCTGACTCATGGCCTATTAAACAGTCATGGTAAGATAGGGTGGTATACTTGTTTGTCTCAATAATAAACCAAAACAAGGATACATGTTGAGATGTCATGTGGTGGAAAATGTATCTGAAGGACCTACAGGCCATTTGAGAAATTATTCACCTGTGTGTGTTTGTTTTCAGGCCGTGACACTTCCTTTCAGTCACTTTCCATGCTCTTTTTCCCTCCCTCAACATGCAGCAGCAGCAGGAGGAGCACAGGAGCAGCAGAACGCTGTCCTACCCGGGTTCTCAGGCCACATGTGCAGGTCTTGCACACCGGTGAAATCCCTGGGATCTCACCTAATGGCTGCCTGTTCTGATTGAACTCCAAGATGAACCCTGAGTCCAGTTCTTCAGTGTTCATAACTGAAATGATGAATCTTATATATTCCCCTGAAATAGGAAATCACTGTCTGAGCATAGCCACCCTCATGTCCTGAGCGGTGCTGAGCTATCTAGCTTTTGCATAGCAACCTCGCTCTTGTATCCTTTTGGAATTAGAGAGGAAGTAGCAACTCATGTGGTTTGGATTACAACAAAGAAACCAGGACTGCTGCAGGAGCCCTAAAGCAGATTGTTTACCTGGTTTAGCAGCAGGAGGCCTATGACTCCATAAATTACCCCTTCACCAGCAGGGCTTACCATGGTAACAAGAATGCCTGGAGAGAGTTAACAAGGGCAAACTAAAATGAAAAAAAGCAAGTGAAGAGATGCCAGAAGGTGTGGCATCTTAGCCAATTTGTAATTATTGCATTCTTAATGAGAACAGAGCATTCTGGTCTGTCTCTGGTGTGACTCAATGGGATGAAAATGTTACTTGTTACAATTCTGTACTAACTGGAAAAGATTCTTATTTTTGTAGTGTTCTCTAAATCAATACAGGTAATTGTTGACACTTTGGAGAGTAATTTATAATCTGGGTGATGCTGTTATCTTTTGTTAGATGGTGGGGAAAATGCAGAGAGTAAATTTTTGGTTTATATAATAAATAAATAAATAAATTTCACTCTTATGGGTCCCAAAGCCTCTTCCTGCCACCAGGAATGTCTTGAGTTAACGATCCTCACTCAGCAACATTATCCTCCCTCCCCCATTAACCTTCAAGCACGTTCCTTCCTTCAGGCATCTTCTATGGAAAATCCTGCTCAATGTAGGCTTCTCTCTCATTTGGTCACCCATCATCCCCATTTTAACCCAGGGAGAGAGCGATACATCTTTGCCTGTTTTGTTTTTGTTTTTTTTTTTTTAATTAGTTGCCTTGCTTTCATCATCTGAGGCACCAACCTGTTACTTCATTAATTTCCTCCCCCAAATGCTTTTTCTCTGTTCACTGTGGGTGTTCAAGAATAGGATGATTTCCTCACATCTTCCACCTTCATAGCACTTCACTGTGCACTTGGAACTTGTCAGTCTTTGCATTTTCTTGTGCAAGCCACAGCTGGTCTCTAAGAATGCTGTTGGACCTTTTGGCACAACTGGGCATGGGTCCAAGATGGAACAAAATAAATAGGGATGGCTATGGTACTATGTAAATGACACATACTGTATCTCACTTGGTCCCATTGGTGTATCCAGGTCACTGACAGAATAGTCATTGATTGGTTCCATCTTTCTGCTGTCTAAACCTGTTACCATCACAGAGAATTCAGTTGCTGAACTGTCTATATGGAGAGCAGCATGCCATGATTCTCAGTATGTGTTAGATTATGAAAGTCAGAGAAGAGCGCATCTGCTCAGTTTTGGCAGGACTGACTGACTCCCAGTGCCGTATCTGCACTCAGCTCTTCTTAATTGAAGATGCACAAGCTGCAGAGGGGTTCCTGGGGTCCTCCACCTCTGTGTCCGAGATTAATCTGATCTTAAGTGAGAAGGGAAATACTGTATGGTGTAGTGGAGCTGGAGGGAAAGATAGACACCTTTTCTCCCATCTTCAATGTGTGTGTGTGTGTGTAGGGGCGTATGTGTTCCTGGGAACTCTTCAATTCCCAGTTTTGTTAACAGGTGAAATAGTAGTAGTAGATGACTAATATTTGATACAGTGCCATATTCAGGTTTTTGTTTTAACCCATGCAGGTATTTAACCAGGAGGGAGAATTCATCCTGAAGTTTGGATCAAATGGAGAAGGAAATGGACAATTTAATGCACCAACTGGAGTAGCTGTAGATTCTAATGGAAATATTATCGTAGCAGATTGGGGAAACAGCCGAATACAGGTAGAGATTTGTGTATTTCAAATGTGTTTGATTAGGAAAATGAATGGATTGATAACTCTGGTCACTGAAGCCTTCAGACTTCCCAAGAAACAGGATAGCAGCATTAGAAGTGATGTGGTTTCTAACACAGGCTTTTATATGCCTCATTGCTGGTCTGTCCACTTTTAGAAGTGGTGGTGTCAGACTGTGGACTTTCCGGTGTGACTGCCAGCAACTCTGATGGTTACTGTGACCAAGGCTCTTGTCTCCAAGTAGTTCCCCAAAAGCTGTTTGATGATTTAGGAGACTTACAAGCATGGCTAGATTACAGTAATTTATAATCAACGTAACAGAAGATTGGAGACTTGGTGGAAAATATGAAAAGCAAATGAACTGTATAGACCCTGAGGCAAATGGAGCAGATTTTTATCATCTTTTTAAAATGTTGAGAAAATACTCTGCTTTTATGTTATGAGAGTTGCACTCTTTTTATCTTTCAAGTGCTAATCACAAAGTCTTATTTGCCAAAGACTACCTAATAAATAAGTGTATGTATTATTTTCACTTAATATAAAAATGAGGGAGATGCTTATGAGTTGTTCTCAGGAAGCACTGTGAACAGTGTATAAAGATTCTTGGTTTTCTTTCTGTGGGAACCTAAGAGTCATGCTAGTCAAAACAGTAATATTTGTTAGGAAAACAAGGTGTTGGTTGAGATCCTGATTGAGTTTTATTTATTGTAGTTGACTATTTTTAGAACAAGGAACAGCAAAGGTGCTCTTATTATTTCATTGCATGTTTAATTCTTGCCAAAGATCCTGGCAACTTTAATTAGTTCTTTTTAATAAGAAAATACATAAACTTGTATATTATGAGAATAACAGATCAGATTCTGCCCTTGTTTAGTGTATGTCAACAGTTGCAGAAATTAGAAGTATGATAATGGTATAATTGAGAACAGACTTGTGTCCGCTATTTTTGGGTTTTATTCATAACATTTATTCTGTGCTTTCTCACCCTCAAAGGTTTTTGATGGAAGTGGATCATTTTTATCCTACATTAACACCTCTGCTGACCCACTTTATGGTCCTCAAGGTCTGGCTCTTACTTCAGATGGCCATGTTGTAGTTGCAGACTCCGGAAATCACTGCTTCAAGGTCTATCGATACTTACAGTAGCAATGAGCTCGGGAGCTGGATAATCGTCCACCCTTAAGAAAAGACTGGTCCTAGAGATCCAATGCAGGATATCTCCTACTTTGAATTAATTTTTAATAATGAAGGAGTCTCTTATGGACTTCTCGTGTTAATTTCCAAACTTACCTTGTTTACATAGGACTTGCACCTCTTATGTTTCTCACTGAACTTTTTGTTGTAAGGGTTAATATACAAAATCCTCTTTAACTGAATTCCTAAAGACAATGTGATATTAAACACAAACTGCAACTTACAGAACTGGAATTAACTAATTAGGCAAAAATGATAAAAATCTGGGAGAAGTCCCCAAAGCTTTTTGAAGACTGCGAAGGGTAGCTCCTGCTCAGAGCTTCCACATTTAAAGTATCATTGTTATGCATTATTTAACCCAGAGGTGATCCTGGGAATCTTCTAGATCTCATTATCATGGTAGGTATTACACTTCTAACATTCTTCAGTCTTACTATCTATAACAAGTAGGTCCTTTTAGTATAAGGTTAAGTCTCACAAAATCCGTCTAGCTCTAACCGTCAGACCTAACACAGCTCAACATTCAGCACTTTGAGAATCAATGCAAATTCCCTGCTCATGTGAGATTAATGAAGGACTGTTTCATGTGCTTGTTTTTCACTCTTCCTCTTGCTCAGTGTGCTGGAAAGGCTTTGCAGAGACCTGACATTTCTAAAGCTCTGGAAAAGCTTAATTGTAGTGATACATTAGTGAGAGCTGAATTTCTATGTAACAACAGACCTTTTGACACCAAACTAGTTCATTAGGATCAGGGTTATTACAATGTCAACTCGATTAACCTCATGTGTGCCACTCTTCTGTATGTGTTCATTGCCATGTTTCCTTAAGGCAACTCATTGTATTAACCAATAAAATAAAATGCAGCACCACGCAGGACAGAAAGCCAGAGAGGTACCCCTATGGAGGACCTACATTATACAACCAAAGGGACTGTGGTAAACAGAGGTTGTATAGGAAAGCCAAGGGTTACCAAAGCTATTTGTTTTTACAAGAGAAAAAAAAAATTATGAGTAAGAATGAATTTGAACCAATTCCTGAAGTCTTTCATCAAAGGGAATTTTGTTAGAGGACAAAATAAGGACTGTGAGATTTGTTCTGATTTGTTTGTATGTATGTATGTATGACTGATTGACATTTAAAAAAAAATTAAATGTAGGTTATTTCAGCAAACTGGAACGTATGTATGCCATTTGACAGTGGCTGTACTCTGAAAAATGTCCCTCCTTCTTCCTGACGGATCTCTACTGTGTTCTTTGTTGAAGTATTAATTTAATTGGAAATCCTTACAATCATATGACTTGGTTCTGTTTTTAAAGTTTTTTTAAGGGTGAACTTGTCCTTTCTAAAGTAGCATTGGCTTTAATCTTATTTCTAAATCCAGTGATCAAAGGATGAATTGCTACTGTAGCCTAATATAGACAGAGTGGTGCTCACTCTTAAACCTCGTTTGAGGAGCTGGTGACCTTGCTGCCAATGCCTACAATAGCCTGGGAAGCACTGTCTGTCTTTTCTCATTTTTAGGGCCTTGAAACAAAAGGGCATTGGGTCAGGAACAGGGGAGTATTTTAAGCATGTTTGCAAAATTGAAAGAAATCTTTGTTAAATTACTTGTTATAAGTATTTGTCTTATTTCTAAAAGGTTAAGGTTGTTGTTTCAATGAATTTGAGAAAAACTAATTTTTTTTGTAAAGATGCATTTGACTTGTAAAATGCAGACCCCAAATTCTTAAATGTGGAGTTTGTCTACCTTTTAATTACTGTTTCTTAAAGATACTTCCTCTTCTTTCCACTGTTTATTTTTTTGCACATAGAGCCAATTTACAAATTCTTGTGCAAAGAAAAGTTTCCATATTTCATTGGAATAAATATTTTGTGTATAAGGTTTAAGGTATGGACTGTATAATGCAGCTAAGAAACTGATGGTAATGTTTTTGAGACGGTAAAAATCAAGTCTGTTATTACCAAGAGAACAAAATATCCTCTGCTTGAACTGAGTTTGTCCTGAAATTCTGAAGATATCTCAGTCATTACACAATAAATGATCCTATCAAAATTTAACAAAGTTGTAGACCAAATTTTCTGATGATCAAGTAATTTCCTTCTAAGTGTCCTTATAAGCAACCTTCTGGCAAACAAACAATTTCTGACATTGGAATGCCCTCAAATGGCTAATTTATCAGTGAAGAAAAGGTACGTAGCATTTTAGCCATATTTATTAACAAAGAAAAGAGGTTGCATGGGTTCTTTGCGATAAAAACTTAAAAAGAAAATGAGAAATCACACAGAATCACAGAATGGTAGGAGTTGCTGTTGCTGTCAGTTACAGATACTGTTAATCAACTTCAGTTCCAAATTTGGATTTTTATAATAACATTTTACTAAACTTGCATGGTTTCCACTCAGGAAACATTGCCAAATCCTCTGTTGCCAGGAACTCTGAGAACCACAGAAATCAGACCCTGACATATGTATCGAAACATACGCTTAAGACTGTACTATTATTCCATGTATATACTTTTGTTCAAAATATTTTCAATCCCTTTGACTCTTACCAGGATTTTATATAACCTATGTCAACCCAGTGCATCCTGATGAAATACGGAATTCTGCACACAACCCCTTTAAAACCCAGCTAACGGCTATCAGGGGTGATGAGGATTTTTTCTTAAGATTGAATAGTCTTTTGGGTTTTCAGACATTATTGAGGATTCAGACATTATCACCAGAGCAGCACTTACTGCAACTGAAAAATGTCACTAATTTGGAGTTCCTTCTGATAGCAAATGCTGCCAGCTACAATTTCAAATTCAGTGGCATAGGGCATTCCCTTCCAAGGTCTGACCTTATCTGCCTGGCACCGGGAAACTGAGAAACACATTGCTTTTACGGTGTGCTTCTGAAACCAATTCAGCTAAAATCCTTGCCTTACAAACCTTACAAAGAGCAACCAAAGCAGAAGTTCTGTTCTAAAAAGCTGGCAGATTCTTTTCTCATCCAATTAAGTGAACGTCAAAATTGCACTACTTGGTTTGCTGAGTTGTAAGCATTTATTAAAGGCTTTATAGGCATTCTGCTGCCAGATTGCAGGTATAACCAAATGTTCCCTTGACTTCCCTGGAATGCTAATTGACTAGCAGCACAGCATGAATGGTGAAAGTATGTGCTTCATTTAACCAATCTTCAACTCAAAAGTAATCTCAAAAGGTTATTGGATCTTGTGTAATTTGGAGCATTTTAGGACAAACTAGCCAACTGTATTTTCATTGTTTTGTGAATAGAATAAAAAGATCTGGTCAGATAAATCCACTATAAACAGTAGGGGATTTTTACATAGGCTAAACCAGCAGCAATGTAGCTGAAAACGAAAAGGAAAATGGTTTAGGCAAGCATTTGCCTAATGTAGATGGAGAGTTATTTATTAGTAAATGCTCTTTTGTTCTGTAAAAGCTAGAGGGCTTTCGATTTTATGTCAGTATTTTTTATAACTAAGGATCTAGTGTTGCCATAATGAGAACTGCAAGTGCCCAATATGTTGTGTTTGCTATAAAGAAATTACTTTCGATTGTGGGTGACAGCTAGTTATGAAATCGTGATGCACATTGAAAATTTTCTTGAAGAATTGTAAGCAGTGATTGTTTTGGCCTGTTTGTGGAGAGTGCGCAAAAGCTATTTGTGCTTCGGAGTAGGAAGATTCCTAAAGGGTTGCATTATTTCTGATGAATGTACAGCACTTTGGTTGATGTTTGTGAGCAACACGGCCTTAACCCTGACACTTTTGCTTTGGCTTTATGACATGGGAATGTTCCCTAAGCTGCATAGTGTATGGCAGTAGCCCCTGTTAGAAATCTCTACCAGTTGATACGCTGCAGCTTTCCAGTTCTAGGAGTGAGTCTGTCTTTTTTTTTTTTTTCCCCTTAATTTTTTTTAAAACTTTTTGTACATTCCATCTTTGTAAGTCAATCTGGTATGTTTTGTGTACATGTAAGCCTTGCACTCTCTTGACACTCCTAACAAAATATCTTCTCACTTGGGTTTCATTTGTTGTTGTTGTTGGCTTTTTTTAAATCCCTGTGAGGCTAAATACAAACTTTGTCTCCTTAAGGTCAAGGATGAAAGATGCGCATCAAAGTGTTTGTGTGTGTGTGTATGTGTGTGTGTGTGTGTAGTTTTAGCTTCCTGTGTGGCACGGTATTCTTGATGCTCTAGCCAATGATTAAAAAAAAATTACTGTCTTGGAAATGTAGGAAAACCAGAGTCAAATGTGTATCTTTACCACGCACAAAAATTTCAAATAATAAAAATAAAGCTTGTTTCCCCTGTTATTTTCATAGTTGAGGATTTATTTTCATGTCTCATACTCACTGTCCCTAAAAACAGCCCCATAATGCAGGAAGGTGGCTGATTTTTTCCAAAAGAAAACCCTGACAGCACAGGTCACAAGCCAAGAACACTGTGGTTGTTTCAAGCGTGTTCAGCTTCTATGTAGACACAGAGGAAAGAGGGACTTGGGTCTTTCCTTGTGCTTCCTTGTCTTCTCCCTTCCTTCGTCAGTTCAGTCATAAGAATTAACATTCTCATTGGTGACTGTAAGATTATCAGTAGTAAACTCTTCAATTTTATGTTTCAGCTATGCTGTGCTACAACCTCTCAAGGGTCTGCTCTAGAAAACCAAATTCTTGTAGAAGAACAGAAAAATTGCCTTAGGAGTTCAATCTGACTCCTTTCCTGTACAAATAATTTTTCAGCTCATGTTAGCTTTTTTTTAGATAGTAAATGTGTCTTCTTGGTCACTGGTGAACTCTCCAAATCTGAAGCTTCAGACGCAACAATTGGCTTGGAAACAATCTGACTAGAGAGGTCAGACTAGTGATGTGTGTTTGCTTGGTGGCAGGACACTCAGAAATGAGACAGCTGAAATACAGAGCAGCCACGCTTTTTCATGGATCTTTCCCCTAGACCCTCTAAAGGAATCAGAAGGCTTTATTTGTCTGCCAGCTAAAAAAACCCCACAGCTTGAAGCAGAGCCGTGTTGCTTTGACATTCAGAGCTGTGGAGCTCCCATTCCTTTCCATGTAAAAAAGACCATGGAGAACAGAGGAAATGGCACAGCCTACTGTGAAAGCCACAAAAAAATGGGCTGAGTAGGAAAGACTCGTGTTGCATTCCCAATCTTTTCTCACTGATGGGCTAGAATTTTTTTCTGTCCCCTGGATTATTACAGCAGAGGCTCCCTACCACTGAGCAAAATCAGGCAGGCAGGCAACACATTAGGACTGGGGAACACTGCCCTTTACCAGGAAAATTCTGCAGTAAGTGGCCAACTTCTTCTTTGGCCTTCCTGTGGTACTTACTTGAATACGGACTCAAATGCTGCAGCAGGATCTTTTAGAAGTTCTGTAAACCAGAATACGGAGCCCAGTCTCACCAATGAGAAACAATGTCAGGGAGAGTAAGGCCAAACTAGTGAAGGGTGCATGTATTTTGGGCGCCCATCTTGCGATAACCAGGACCTCTCTCT